GGCGACAAAGATGAGGACAATAGTCCGAATAATGTAAATAGTGTAAATTAAATATTGACATGCATAAAAATCAAAAGTACATTTGTGCATGATTATCTTATTAGAAAGTACAAGAAAATGCTAGGCACAAAGTTACTGTCAAAAATAAAACAATTAGTTTATACAATTTTTTTTTTAAGCAAATCGCCCTAAGCAAGGTGGGTGTGGCACTAACACATAATGGGTTACAGAGAGTGACAGTAAAAGTAAAGAGGAGTGTTTGGAGAAAGGATGAAGAGAAGGTACAATGATCAAGGCATCAGATGTTGTCTTCTATGTGCCATGTCTTTTCATGACGTGGGTGATCATGGCTCTCCACATTTTCCTATCCCTTGTGGCTCTTAGTAATTTTTCTCCCTTTTCTAAGGCTCCTACCCAACCTTCTGCCATCCATTCACATAAGCGCGTCAGATAAGTGGCTCAATACCTTCCCCTATATCCCATGCCCTTAATATACCCCAGTGAGGGTTAAATTTTCCAATCCCTTCTTCTTTCTTTGTTATATCGTGAGGAAGTAACATAAAAATTTTTTATAGATTTGTTTCTCCTCAATTTATGTCTACATCTACTCTTAAGTGTCTAATACAAGTCGCCCTGGGTAAGACGATAAACTCTGTCCGACAACATGATCAGGAGGTTTTGAGAAGCATAGAACCACCTCTTAATTGCTGGTGTTCCCAGGTCCAACCTGACTCAGGGTGGTAGCACCTGTTAGGGTCCCTGCTATGGGCAAATAGTTAACCCCCAAACTGGGGTCAAAACAATATGAAAGTGTAAAAATTATTACAAGCAATAAATTTTTGAAGAAAAATTATCACCAGCAATACATTTTTGAAAAAAAAAAAGAAAAAATACCAGCAATACATTTGAAAAAAAAAAAAAAAAAAAAAAAAATCTATTATCAGCTACAAATTTTTTGAAAAAAAATATTACCAACTATACATTTTTTGAAAAAATAATACCAGAAATAGATAATTGGAGGAAAAAATATTATCAGCAATACATTTTTTGAAAAAAAAAAAAAATTACCAGCAGTAAAAATAACCCATTGAGGTTGATATGCCGTAAAACAAAACAAACAAATGAATCAATCTAATACAAGGGAGGAGTCTTAATTAAAAGTTGGTTCGGAAAATCGTTTAATATGTGAAAAATTTAAAATTTTAGTCAAGAATTCTCGATTTTTCCGAAGCACTACACTAAGACCCAATCTCATCCCTAGAAATTCTTGAATTTTCTGAAAAGATAGTAGTATATAAAGAAGTTCCAAAACAAATTAGTAAGTGAAAAAGCTTACATAAACATTGACTAGAATAACACATAAAAATCAAAAGTATATTTGTGCACCATCTTCTTATCAGAAAGTACAAGAAATCCTCGGGACGAGGTTGCTGTTAAACTTAAAATAATAAAACAATCTGTTTATATGACTTATTTAAACAGTCATAAAATTGTGCAAGTAAAAACTTGAACCTCCTTCTTCTTGCCATGTCTTTTCAGAACACGAGCAATCATGGCTCTCCACAATTTTCTGTTCTTTGTAGCACTTCGTAAGGTTTGTTTTTTTTGCAACCTCTTCTAATCCCTGTTCTGCCAACCATTTACACAAGCTTGTTAGGAAGGTTATGTGCTGCTTTTCTCTATTCCTCCATATGTTCTGTGAGTGTAGAAACCAGTTAAAAATTGTCAAAATTTCAATAGATCTAAATCTCAATTCTGTGCAAAACTAGGATCAAACAGACATCACCTCAATTTTGTGGAAAAATAGGCCCACACGAACAACAAATTCAAATTTCCACATAGCATTTATTAACCAATCATTGACGTTATCTCAAATGCCATTCAAGCTTTTAAAAAAAGCAGACAACCATTCTTATCGCATGCTAAAGAAATTGAAAGATTACAGCCAGACAATGATTAACAATCTTTTCTCTCCTCATAATCAAAGATAAAAATCAGGAAATATATTTAACTAAAAAAACTTCTGAGTTTAGTAAATCTTTTTAGTTTCTTGTGAATCGATTTTTTCTTATAAGTAACATGATGTAAATTAAAACAATTCAGTCTTCAGTATAATTTTTGACTGAGGATTATGAATACTAAATTCTAAAATTAACTTATTGAGTACTAAGTTCATTCTTGATAATTATTTCACACTTTTAAAGTATTTTTATAAACCAGTTTGTACAGTTTACATTAAGAAAATTCATGAGTGAATACGCAAAGCATAAATATAGAAGCCATAGTAGTATGGGATTTACCACAGCTGCTGATGAAAATACATCATACAAATATAAAATTGTGGATTTTCTGTGATAATCTCACATATACTTTTCACCTATACTAACACAATGCATTTTTGTATTGTAAAAAAATATTTTTCATACAAACTTTATTTGCAAGGGACTTTATACCTTGTTTCTTGCAACTTAAAATAAAAAAATTTTTCACACTCAATAATTATTTAAATTTTTAGAGCCGTGTTTGAAGATTGCTTTTCTTCGCTTTTCACACACATTTTCCTCTCCATGAGCATCAAATTTTCAAAGCCCTCTTTCTTTGAGAAATTTCAACTGTCTCTTTCTAAGTGTCCTTTTTATTTCCATTTTCCTTCATGTTCAGTTCAGATATTCACAGCATCCTTTTGCAAAACAACATGTTTATTGATTCAATTCTTCTTTTCCATGGTGAGGACATTGTCCAGCATTGGAGGACCGATATTACATAACAGTTCTTCAAAATTTTCTTTTTTCTTAATACTTTGCTTATCTTTTGTAAGGCATTTTTCACTATCCCATCTATCTTTGGATTTTAGTGCCACATTTTCTGTCCTCTGTTACAACACTTCCAAGATATTAAAAGTGTTATACTTTTTAAAATTATTTTAATCATTTGACCCCAAGTAAGGCAATAAAACCACTAAGATGCAAGTGGTTACTGAGTGTGAGAGAATATGAGAAAAAGAAAACATTATTAAGTAAAGAGAACAATAAAAGAACAGGAATTAAGAAGACAGAATGCAATGATTAAGATTGATCTTTAAAAATTTAAAAGCAAAGTTGATTGGGAAGTAAAAAACCAAGAGTTACCATCAAACTTATGGTTACATTTAACCCCTTCAACTGTAAAATGATGAAACCTAGCTGCCAAGTATTGCACTTAAATTCGTAAAGTCAAATGATCAAAGAGGAAAACTCATCAGAACAATTATCATGAAATATTTATAGAAAACGAACAAGGAAGTTATGTTACGGTGATGGTTAAGTGAATGAATCCAAGATGATTTGATTGATTTTAGTGTCCCTAATTTGTAGTTCATATTATGGGCTGTTCCTTTTACTGACAACCATACATTCTGTCTCCTCAATAAATACTCCTTTCTCTTAGAGCTTTGGTGTGGGGGAGTAAGAAATTAATAAACAGGGTAGTTTTAGTAAGGTTTATAGGATTTGGTTTGTTTTACAGAATAATAACCTCAATGGGTAATTTAATGCTGACAAAATTTTTATTGCTGGTAATATTTTTTTTCCAAAAAAGTATTGCTGGTAATAATGTATTGCTAGTAATAATTTTTTCCTTCAAAAATTTACTGCTGGTACTAATCCCCCCCTCCCCCACAAAAATAAAAATTTCTGGTATTAAAACCTATTTTTACACTTTCACAGTTCTTTGACCTCAGTTTGGAGGTTAACTGTTTGCCCATAGCTGGAACCTTAACAGATGCTACCACCCCGAGTCAGGATGGACCTGGGAACACCAGCAATGAAGAGGTGGTTTTATGCTTCTCAAACCCCCTGATCAGATGCCTTGCTGTCGAATGTAGTTTATCGTCTTACCCAGGACACAGATGTAGTTAAGGTCAATAGGGGCTAAAAACATATTTGAGTACAATTGCTTATGAAATGATCTTGATTGAGGT